AAGCACACACACACTCATACGTATGTACACACAAAATCTCTCCATAAAATGCATATCTGCTCTGGAAAAATGTTTAAAAAAATGCGTAAAAAAAGAAAATATCCAGAGAAATGGAATGGTAATCCCTTCGGGAGACGAAACGAACGTCAGGAACGCCTGTAGAATGTCCAAATAGGCGATCTAACAGTTGTCAAAATAAGTGGAAATGCTGCAAGCTGCACAGATGCATTAAAATAGACATTAAGAGGTAAACGGCAAGTTTGGTGAATTGTTTGAATGTTGGATGTTTTTGGATTTGTAATTGTTTTTGGAAATGTTTGATGTTGTTGGATTGTTTGTTGGTTGGATTGTTTTTGTTGGTTTTGTTGGTAATTGAATGTTGGGATTGTTCTCGGTTTCATAAAGTGAAAATATAAAAAAGAAAAAAAAAACATTTCATTCAAGCGAACAATCAAATGCAAACAAACAATCGAAGCAAACATCAACAAAAAAAAAAGAGCTATCAAAAAATTAAGAAAAAATTTCGTGGGTTTCCAGGCAAAGGAGGGATAAAAAATGCGACTGGCGCACAAAAAAAAGCAGAAATGAAGTCCGAGACAATCCTCCTTGCCGGATTCAGTAGCCGGCTGGTAACTAGACTCGTCTTTTTAGGACAGTGTCGGGATGATGATGCGGATCCTTCAGAAGTCTTGCAAAATCTGTTTCAGTATTTTTAATTGCATCTGAGATACGCGGCTCTTCCATCATATATCGTATTGCGTCTGCTGTAAAAGACGGTGACCGTTGCGAGGGCAAAGAATTTTCCTTCTGAAAAACAAAGAAATTTAGTCATTTGGAAGGAAAATTTTAATGAAAAATTTTTTTCTTAAAAAAAGGCTGAGAAAATAAAAATTGAGAGAAAAATGCTGAGGAGAAAAGAGTGAGGGAAAAAAAGACTGAGGAAAAGAAAAATAATTGGCCAACGTACGGGCTGCCCGCGCGAAGATGCGTTTTTTGCATAGCTCCCCGCACATTTTTGTCGCTAATGGCACTGGTTTTTTCGGCAGATGCTTCTAGCTAAAAGAATTTTCGACCAGCGGCCAGGACTGTCAGGAAACGTCCCTTCAAAATTCCAGTTTTCTAGCTTCTCACGTCCCCGAGTTAGCAACTTATCCGAAAGAAACCTTCGCGGGTCCGTACGTAGGTACCACGCTTACCCGGGAGCTGGATTTGAGCTCATTAATACCCACTTGGACGGGGAATACTGCCATAAGATTTTAGCTTTCTACCTTCTCAGATCCTCGAGTTATGAATTTACTCGTAAAAAACTTTGGCGGGCCCGTACGCGGATACCACGCGGGTAATGGAGCACATGGGGATTGGCCTGTACGTGCATGTAGATTAAGTTTCCAAAGTTTCAGCCCTGCAGCTTTTATAGGTCTTGAGATGAAAAATCGGGACAGACGCACACACAAACACACGCACACACAGACAAACCCTCGTCAATACACGTTTTTGAATTGCATAGCTGCAAAAAACGCATGAAAAGGGAAAAGAAAAGATTGAAGAAAAAAGACTGAGGGGGAAAAAAAGATTGCAGGAGCTAAAAAAGACATGTGAAGAAGCAGGCAACGCTAATGTACCAGAATCTTAGGAGTACTGAAGTGATCAGGTGCCCCTGCTTGCTTAAGGCCCATCATCATCAGTACGGTGATCTTCACTTCCACAGTTTCGTGGCCTTGTTCAAAGCGATATTTCAAAAGCATTTTCTGCGTTTGCAACACATACTTTTCATATTTCTCAGCTATTTTTTTTGTATAGGAATCGCTAGCTATCAAAATGTGACTGCCTGAAAGTTGAACGCTGTCTCAGCACTCCTAGGTCTGTGAATAGTGTAAGCTTGAAGTCCTCCTGAAAATAAAAACTCTCTTACACGAATAAATCTGGGGGAAGTCCAGGGCAGAACCTCCCTAAAAGTTTGGAACTACCTAAAAGTGTCAGAAAAAAATCTTTTCAAGCCCTAAAATATCAAAAAAATTTTTAAAAAAAGACTCAAAAAAAATTTTTTTCTCTCAAAATTTCAAAATTTTAAGATAAATTTTATTTCTGAGTAAAAACAAACCTCTAAAATTCTCACAACTTTATTCACGGCCCATTTACTTCCGGTACCATAATCATCTTTTAGTTTGACAATGCGAACCAGCAGGCATCGTCCCAAAATGCTGTCGCGATTCAGTTCAGCAATACGGCCCAGTGAATCATGGACGGTACCGAAAAATTCGGTCCACAGAGTGGTGGAATTCTGCTGATAGTTGGCCGGAATGAATAATTTTAGTTGTACCTGTCAAAAAAATTTGCTCTTTTTTTTCAACAAATGGCGCATATGCGCTTTTTGGCTTAAGAAATGAGTATGCGAACAGAGATCCAGTTGTGATGCTGAACAGAAATTTATACGACTTAATGGATCGCAATAATCCTGTTGTCCGATTTAAGATAGTTTATATATACATCTTTTTATGCGTTTTGTGCTGTGTAACAGCGTTACAAAACGCATATAGTCACGGGGTTGTCTGTGTGTGTGTGTGTCCCATATTTTGTCCCGCACTTTCAACTCGGGAACCACAAAAGCTAGGCTGCTGAAATTTTGGTATAATGTTCCCCGCCAACGGATGACGCGGCAAATTTAAATTCAGCCTTCCCGTGCCCGCGAGTAACTAGTACGGCCCCGTGAAAGTTTTTTACGGGTAAATTAATATCTCAGGAACCACGGAGTCTAGGAGGATGAAATTTTAGGGTAATGACCCACTGCTCACGCTCAACCTTGCCCATTCAAATTCAGCGTTCCCACACTTTCGGGTACCACCTATGGGCTAGTGAAAGTTTTTACGGGTAAATTATTATCTTGGCAACCACGTGGTCTAGGAAGCTGAAATTTTAAAATAATGACTCCCTGCCCACACTCAACCTTGCCTATTCAAGTTCAGCGTTCCCGCGCTCTTGAGTATCACCTACGGCCTCGTGAAAATTTTGACGAGTAAACTATTAACTCGGGAATCACGGGAAGATATTCACCCTTCAAGGTTCCGAATTCAGCTTTCATGCGCTGGTGCGCGAAATTTTGAACTATTTTCCAATTTTTGAACTGTTTTTGCATAAACAAAAGTACAAAGCAATGAAAATCATTAATAGGCAGTCGTTCGATGGGCTGAATTGGACAAAACGCATGGTCGCACCGGCTGGTTTGGTGCGCGTTGCTATTTATCTTCACTTGTAACACTGCTACCTGTACCGATGAGGGGTGGGGGGGGGGGGCGAAAAGCCCATCGCTCCCTCCCCACCCCTTTAGATCTGATAATGCAGCAAGCTAATCATTAGACGATGTAGCATTAGTCAAGCAAATAATAGGGTTGCGAAACGCATAGTTGAAGAATGGGATTCTGAAATCCAGCTTCAGTCATGCAGCAACATTATATTTGTGATATTTACATATAAGTTTTTGCATAATGCCAGGGTGGGGGGCGGAGGGGAGGGGAGAGGCATCCCTCAACATCACCGCCTCACTCACTTTTTCTCCGGTGCTCCTCCCCCTTCCCCGCAGGGGTTCACCCGGGAACCGTCTATGACACGAAGGATTTTTTTTTGCTGGATTTCATTGTAATGTTGTTGCTGTTTTTGATTTCTGGAATTAATTTTTTTGAATAAAAATTTCAATGAAAAGAATCATCTTCGTGATCGTCTATGTTTTTGAGCTTACTTTTTGCATTTTTCTCCAGCTTTGTGCCGTTGACTGCTGATTTTACTGTTATTGGTTATCGCTTTCATAAGATCCGTTGACATTTACTGGTTATTTCTGTAGAAAAACGATTTTTTTTTTTTGCAAAATTTATTTTAATATTTAAGAAAATCTTTGTTTACTATCAAAACCCGACGTGTGGGAGCACCTTGGGAACATTATTAACAGGGGATACAGACACTGATAATCCACCTGGTTTGGTATTCCTGGTATTTTTATAAGAAATCAACTGTGCCCTGGCACGCAGAAGCATCTCAGTAACATCACTAACATGGGATACCCACATCAATATTTTGATGAGTCCCGGCAGTTAGCGGAATTTTTCAAGAAATCGAGCATCAAAGTATACCGTTTCGTTTGACTTTGCTGTACTGTGCCTGACCTGTTTCACTTGCCATTTAATTCGGATTCAATTCTGTTTGATTTTCCGGATCTGTTTTTGGTCTGATAACTTTGGATTTGAAGACTTAAATTTGGATTTTTGAAGGCTTAAATTGTATGCGACTTAATGGACCGAAACATTCCAATTCAGTTTTAATTTTTTGTTTTTCACTTTTTACTTTTTTACAAACTTTTTCATAACCACAAAATATCTAAATTTAAATAAGGTTGCCAGTAAAGAAGTGGCATCCGATGTGGAGGAATTTTGCCATGTTGAATGGAGACGCTGCGAGAAATTGCTGGAGAAAATTGGTATTCAAAATGCGAGGAATGTTGGGCTTGGATACCCGGTGGCCGGTGTTGTGGGGTAAGTACATGTGCTCTCAAATAAGGCCCGTTTTCCATCAATTTTTTTTAAAAAAAACCTAAAAACTTAAATTACAGGTGAATGTAAGCTGAGAACTTTTCCCTCCGAACAGTTTATACGAAGTTTGGATGTGTCACAACGGGAGCAACTTGCAAGCATCATCACCGAAGTGGAGGTTTGCGTTTTGCTTTCTTTCGGATCAGGGCGGCTGGAAGGATGGAATTTAAGGCTGGAAGGGTGGACTTTGGTAGAAAAAATTGTGGTGGGTAAGATAATTGGCTAGTTGATGTGGTACAATCCTTTTGACATTTGGAATAGTGGTGTACCAGAAATGTATATGTAGTTTGGTCTGTCTGTGTTTCATCCCTTAGCTGCAAACACAGACAGTGTAAAGTGTCGTTAGGGGTGGGAATCATCAGTACAGCCTCCTAGGCACCATGTGAATACGTAAATTACGTGGTATTTAGGATGAGACATAGACGTTAAAAAGATGGGAAGAAAGGAAAAGAAGGAAAAAGAGAAAAAAAAAAAGCTTTTTAGATGCTCTCTCGGTGCTATAGCTATTTCCCGGAACACATCACGGATGCCGATTGGAAACGGCTATTTCAATGCGAAACGCAAAAACAGCGCTTCAATCATGTGAAATTTTGCCGTCAAAATGAGCGGAAAGACGAAAAAATTAAAGCCAAAAAGCAGCAGCACCAGCAGCAAAAATCTTCTTGCGAACCAAATACATCGATGGCCGCTTTTTCAGGATTCCCAATGTTCATGGGCACTTCGCAGCGCAGTATATTTTTCACGTCAAATTTTACCTCTGATTTAGTAATGAGTTCAAAAGTTTATGAAAAATTAGAATTATTTTCCTTTTTTGCGGGATTTTAGGGAAAAGATTTTATTGGTCTTATAATTTGTTAAAAAATTATTTTAGTTTTTTTTTGTGATTTTGTATCTACCGCTATATTGGTAATTTTATAATTTGTTTTGTAAAAGGTACATTGTTGGTTTGTTTCTTTTTATTTTACAAAGTATATGATATGTTTTGTTTATTCGTTAATTTCTGCGTCAAGTGGACCAGCAATCTGACCACTTGGTGGTCCAGAATTGGTCAAAGCAACTGGAAAAGATTCCAGCTATGTATAACTGAAGAACCACTACACCACAACTATCAGAATACGTTCCCTTAAAATTTCAGCTTTCTAGCTTTTCCAGTTCCCGATTTAGCAACTTACTCACCAGACATTTTCACGGGACCGAACGTGAAAACCATGCACACTGGGTTTGAAGCCATTAAGTTCTAGCTGTGAATTACAGCTAGTAGCAGTAATCCATTCATCATAAGCTTCCACTTCAGTGGATTTGCCATTCATTTCATAGATTTATGTGCTTGTAATTCGCTCTGTAATTTTATAAATTCATAAATTTTTTTGGATCGAAAGGCCTGGCATAGCTGTTTTTGGCAAGTAACATTACTAACATGGAATACCGACACAGATGGCCTGGAAATCTTTTTGTTTTTGGTATAATTTCGTAAATCATACATAACCACAACTGTATTTAGAGCGTATAACTGAGCAACGAAGATTGATGAATCATTGGCATACTGCTCAAATGGATCCAACTCCGGCCCTGCTGGTTGATTGTCGCTTTCTGAATAAACTTTCACCGCAAGCATTGTCACAAACTCTCTGCCAACTGAATTATTTGGCCAGTGAAAATCGTGATCGACATCGCTCCTGGCCTCTTTTCTACTGTAATTTCGATACAAGCAACGAAAATATTGCTGAGGAACAGAATAGGTAAAAGTGTGATCATAATCAGTTAGAAATAGGAAAATATTTTAAAGTTAGAAGACAAGAAATGGAAGCTGTGAAATTATTTTTGAATTTTCAGTTTTTTTTCATTTTTTTGGATATTTTTTTGAGTTTCATTTTTTTCATTTTTTGGAATTTTTTTGGATATCTTTTATCTTCCTCCAACTTTGAAATATTTTACGATTACTAGAAAATCTTGATACTTCATATCTCAATTGAAGGCTGTGAATTATTTTTGGATATTAGTCTACTGGCGTTTCTATTGTAAGTAAGCTAAAATTATCTGCAAAAAAGGGAAAAGTATGGGGAATTAAACAAAAAGTTGAAGAATGAGGTATTTGATGAAAAATTACGTTTTCATTTTTTTAAGATTTTCTAAGTAAATAAGGAAAAATGAAGAAAAAAGAGCTTTTTTGGCTGAATTAAGCACTTTTTTGGTATTTTTTTAAGAAATTGGGTACATTTTGCAGGCACTTGTTAATGGCCAATTCGCCAAGAAATATATCTGTAACAGTATCGCCTTCCAG